GACTCCGGGGTTTTGGGTTTTGGGGGGCTCTGGCATGGTTTGGCTTCTGGATTTGTTTATTGAAATTTCCGATCTTTCTGGGATGTGGCAAGGGCTTTGATTCTAGGATTCTAGCTTTCAGGGGGCCGGAAGAGGCTTCTGGGGTTTGGCGTTTCGGCACAAATGCACCGAGGATGCAGGGCAGTAGTCTTAGTGAGTGTGGGCTTAAGTGCCCGCGCACGCGCAGGCGTTTTGGTTGAAGCTCCAGGGATGGTGTGCGAGGGCAAACCTCTAAGGCCTTGAGGCCTTAAGCCCGTTAATCCGTACACCGAAGCCCCAATGACAGCTGTCAAGTCTCCACTCTTACACTTCGCTCAGCGACTCACCGACAAATAGCTCACTGAATGTTCCGGAGATGTCTTTGGGAGGCATAGGTGGTCATGTTAGTAGTATGAGCTGTTAATGATGTTGGTGGATGCCCTTGAGGGGGAATATTCCTCTGGTCGGGCAGGCTACTGCTACTGCTACTGCTGCGGCTGCTGCTACTGCTACTGCTACACAATGCATTGCATAGTAAGAACAAGACTTTCACTCGGAAGATAAGTTGCTATAAAACGAAGCAGGCTCAATGAGAAGGACGCAGCTTCGAGTCACAACAGCAAGAGCTCGATCATCGTAGCCGTCCCGGAGCCTCACAACGCTATACTCTCCACTCTAATATAGAAGCCTAAATCATTACCAATACCATTCCTTGGGGTTCCTTGTAGATCCACTACAAATCAGAACCCGAAACCCTACATTACACTACTAGGCCAGTACTTGGAGGGTCGGGGGACTTAGCAACTGGTTATTTTAGGGACTTATAAGTACCATAACCCCAATCAGGGTCCCGTTTAGTGTACTTATAAGTCTACTTCCTACCTACTTACTAAGTCCCCCGACCCTCCAAGTAACCCCCAACACCCAAATATAGTGCCCTAAATAGTAGGATCCTTATTACAACGAACCCCAAAAAACCGGCAAGGTGGGGCGTCCTGGTTTGGTTCACGGAGCTGCATCCCTGGGTGGCTGCTGGAGTTCTCCTCGTAGGCCAAGCCCAGAGTTTCGGGTTTAAGAAGCCTGATGGAGCGGCATCACACTGTGCGGAGACCACTAACAATACATTATATATATATATGTACATATAGATATGTAAATATGTATATATACATATATGTATATATATATATATATATATATATATATATATATATATATATACGCACATCGTGAAATATCATGTATAGCATACAGGATATAGTACCTTATTTTGTGGATTTTTTTTATGAATGCTGCATTATATACCAAATGGTGTAATCTTTAATCTATAACCTATTTTATATCACATCCGACATACTGCTTGTATCTCTCTGGGTGCTTGGCGCTTGGACGTCAAGAGGCAGCTTGGTGGCAGATCTGGTGCTGTTGCAGCTGCCCTGGCGAAAGCAGGCGCGGCACATTTTTGTATCCTCTTGCAGGGTGCTTCGAAATGTCAGGGTTTTGGGGTTTAGGGTTTCGGGGTTTGGAGCGTAGCATTTGGGGTATAGGGCTCCCTGTAGTCCCAACTTCCCGATGTGCATTGCCACTTTGCTTCTTTGCGATTGTTGCTGAATGGCTCCCGTCGTCTGGTGAATCCCAGGATTCGGAGAAGCTCTTCTTCTGGATATGCCATCGAGATGAGACTCAGCTCCAATGAATATACCAAGCGCAGGCTCATTCTTTCGTCTATTTTTAACGCTAAACTCTACTACACCCTGCGGATACTGAGGACTACGATGACAGCTCGTCACTTCCAGCAGAGGGTGTCTTAGTTGCAATGCAGATCGCGGTACAGTACTTGGCACGGCTAGGCTTCCTGTCCCCAGAGAGCCCTTGAGCCCTGAACCCTAAACCTTGAACTCTAAGCTCTAAGCTGTTGCTTTTAGCAAGTTAAGCAAAGAGTTACGCAAGGACTTCCCTCAAACACCTCCAGCCATCAACCCTAAACCCTTAAACCTCAAACCCTAAAGCCCAAAAACCCAAAGCCTTAAACCCTAAACCCTTAAACCCTACCCTTAAGCCCTAAACCCTAAAGCCCTAAACTGCTCCCTGCGATGCTCAGTTTTCGATGACATCCCCGGTGCCTCCCACGAGCAGCAGGAAGCGGTGGTGCGAACCTCAAGGCACTGAGGGTTTAGGGTTTAGAGATTAAGGTTTGGGGTGTAGGATGTGTGAACAGTGTGCACACGGCGGGTGCCGCTTCTTTGAAATGCGGGGACCTCAGGCATTGTGTTGCCCGAACTAGAGCCAACAAGTTCATGGATGCCTGCAAACGCTATGCCAGAGTTCATGTCAAGGCCGTGCAGAAGGTTAAGGTAATATAGAGGCCTCAATAATTACCTATACTATTTTGGAGGTTCCTTATTATAGTTCTAGTGTAATGGGCCCCACAACCCTATTCTAATCATTAAGTCTCCTATATTACATCAAGAGCGCAGGCTTTCCTTTAAACCCTAAATCCTTAAGCTTATCATCATGGTTCATCCTGGTCAAGGAACTCTAGCTCTAAGCAGGTGGAAAACAGCTCTAAGCCCTGCACACCCTAGACCCTGGACCCTAGACCCTAAACTTTCGCGCAGGCTCTCCATGAAGCTTGAGAATTTGAAGAGTTCTGTGGAGGTGCAGCGATTCGGCAGCGGTGGCGGCAAGCAGAAAGCAATGGAAGAAACCTAAACCCCAAACCCCAAGCCCTATACGCTTTGGCTTTGTCCCGACAACCGGAAGCCAACTTCAATTGGTAAGATAACGGCCGTTGCCACGTCAGCAAATCCCAGGCATTGACTTAAGTGGACTCGAAGGCGCGCTGGTGAGCTCAAGTTTGGTGGTGCGGGTTTTGGGTGTAGGGCTTAGGGCTTGGGGATTAAGGTTTTGGGGGTTTGGGCTTAGACCTTAGGGTTTTGGGTGATAGCTGCAAGCATTTACGGGTGTAGGCTTTCTGGCCCTCGGGTGTGGTGCTTAAAGATGGTGCCTCCTGGTAGGTCGCCTGAGCCACCTCGAGAAATGCGTGGAACGGGCCACGGCGGTGCGGCACCTACACATTAGGTCGTCCAGTTCATTTATATAGGGGCTTCAACAATTACAGATACCATTTTTTTTTTGCGGGGGTTCCTTGTTGTAGCTATAGTATAGTATACCCTCAAACCCCAGTTATTCTAATTTTTGCGGCCCCTATATTATGTTCTCAGCAGCTTGGACTGGGACTGTGGTTTTCAGAGCTCCCTTGACTTGCTCCAAGGCCTTCGCCGTCCTTGAGTAGGACGAACCCATGGCAGACCTGTAAATGTTTTCTTGTCATCGCGCCAATACGGCTGATGGCAAGCGCTTTGCGCTCGCTGAGCCTAACATCAACCCGAACCGCAAGCTAGTTTTTCAACCTCACGGCCGTAGACCCTCAACCCCAAACCCTAATCCCTAAACGCTAAACACTACAACTAAGCCCTAGGCCCTAAACCCTAAGCCCTGCATACTAAACCCTAAACCGTCCCCAGTAGATTTAGGATGCACGCGTTTCACCTTTCGCAGGGTGTAGGCCTCAAGAGCCATCGGCCACAGAAGCCGGATGATCGCCCTCTGCGAGGATCTCCAGGGATCAAAATCGAGACTGTGTAACGTTTAGAGATATCTTGTTTAGGGGTTTAGGGGTTTAGGGTTTCGGGGTTTAGGGTTTGGGGATTACGGTTTAGGGTTTAGGGGTTCGTGCTGTTATCTAGAATGCTAAAGGATATATTCGGCCCTGCTGTTTTCCGAGGCATGCCGCCCTTGCCTGTGTCTCCTGCTTGTATGAATGGATTCTTGAATCGATATACCCAGATCTTATGTGCATGTATACACACAAGTACAATACAAGAGCAAAGTAGTAGGTACACAGACAAGTACGTGCCGATGTCGTAACAGACACGAACACATAGAACTCAGGCATAAGTAGAGATGGGTAGACAAATACAAGTAGATCAAAGGTGTATTCATATTCACATATTTCTGTAGCAACAGTGTAAGCAAACTGCAGCATTTAGGTTAGCAAACATCGTAGTGGATACCGGGTAGATAACGGCAGAATGGGCAGACCGGTCGCCAATATCTGACCTACTCGTAGAGCTCAGAGAAGACACCAGACATAGCATGGTCAAAAGCTCACCATTCTTGGGGTGCGACGGGAATTCCAGATTCGCCTATCTTGGGCTGTGTGGAACGGAGTGTGAGAGGGCATGTGTTCAGGTTTGTTGACACCGGGTGAACTGTTTAGGGTTCAGAACACTTTACGCCCCGAAGCTCGATGTCCGTAAACCCTAAAACACCCTAAACCCAACGGTCGAAGGCAGACCTGTGTCCGAAGTCCCCACACGCGCACATTCGTTATCCTTGACTAGAAGCCTTGATCGCACAACACCGGTGCTGTGTTGCTCGTACTGCAAGTGGATAGTCCTCTAAATAAGGGTGTCTTTTATGGTCCGTTTTTAGGGGGTGCCGCATTATTCTGGGGAACTCGAAGGGACCCGACTTCAGCGAACCTACCTTAGCAAGGCTACCACAGTCCAAATTGTGTGTATGTTGGTGTGGTATGGAGTGGTATGAGTTGTATTGTATTGTATTGTACTGTATTGTTTTGCATTGTATTGAATTGTATGTTTTGGTCTTTCTTGTACATTATTTGCATTGGTATTGGTCTTGGTCGTATTGGCATTAGTACTAGAACTCTTTGGCTTTGCATCCTATTGCTTTTTGGATGTGGACGGAGAGATAGAGAGCTAGGTACGTGGATAAATCAGAACCCGGTACACCCTCAACCTTACCAACCTTGCACCCCTGAACCATGAAAATCCTAGATCGCAGGTTGTTAGTAGTGGAGTTTACGGTTTAGGTTAGGGTTTAGGGTTTAGGGTTTAGGGTTTAGGGTTTAACCTGACCCTAAATCCTAAACCCTGCGGCGGTTGGACTGTCACCAGGCTGCCAGAGCGCACGCGATCTCGCGAGGCCCTGAATCAGTTTCGAGTTTAGGCTAGTTAACCTAGAAGCCAGACTTACCTAGGTTACAAATATCCCAAGACACACCCCTAAACCCCTGTTCTAACGGTTGATGATATAAATCCTGCATTAGCCATGATAAGGAATATACCATAGTTCCCATAGTTTAGGGTCCTTAAGGTAATGCAGGATTTATATCATCAACAGCATCATTCACTAAGGCCCCTGTAGGATCTTCGGGGGTTTAGGAAACTTAGAGGTTCTTCTTTCGGCATCAGGTTTTGGGTTTGGCTTTCATAGGGGGGGTTGTCAAAAAATGTGGGTTTAGGGTTTCGGGATTTCGGTGCCGTATTATATGAAAGACCCAAAAGGGGCCATAATTTTGATAACCACCCATATGGGTTTTGGGGATTTGGGGTCGGTGTTCGATCCGATACAGCCTTCAACCCTAAACCTTAGAAGCTGCCCCCCACCCTGTAATAGTGACTATAAGGATTATATTAGGGCCCTATTACATATACCTATCATACCACTATTACAGGGTGGGGGCCCCTTCTAACCTAAACCCGTCAAGGAAACGTCTCCCAAGCCCTAAACCCGGCAAGTCCAAGAACCTTGCCTAAATCTTCCAGAAGTCCTAAACCCTAAACCCAAAACCCCTGAACCCCTAAACCCTAAACTCCAAACCACAAAACTCTTAGCAGCCTGAAGACCCTGGACTTCCTGAAAACGCATTAAAAACCGAAACACCCCAAATCTAGGTTTTTGTTACGGTATTGCAATTTAAGTTGTCATAATAGGGATCCGAAGTGAACAATATGGTTTCTTTATTATGATAACTTAAATCAGCAAGGACCCAGTCAGGTGGCATGGCCGTCAAAGCCATGGCCAGTGCTGTCGTGAAAGCTCGGGAGGACGAGGAGGAGCGGGAAAAGACACTTAGAGTTTAGGGTCCAGGGCTTCGGATCCCGGGCGTTGGGGCAGATGGCATGGCCACTTAAGACTTGGAATAGGAGCAGGGAGTACATGTTTGTTATGGCTGTATGATCTTGGTGTGTATTAGTGCTGTACCTGGTGGTATAACGACTATTAGGAGGTGTTGTTCTCGGAGCCAGAAAATCACCAAACCGCTACGCCGCCAAACCCTCAACCCTAAAGCCCCGAAGAAGACTCGACGGCTGCTTGCACCGGAAGAATCGTCGCACCTGGAGTCTTTTGTCGCCACTGTTTCGCTTCAGGCCTTACATAGCTCTATGGCAAAGCAAGGCGTACCCTACCGTAGGGTTTTTAGGTTCTAGGGACTGAGTGGCCGTCGTAGCCCTGAAGTCAAACAAAGCCGGTCTTCTATCTGAGCAGTTCAAACTTTCCTGTTGCACGATTTGCCCGAAACCCTAAACCCGACACCCTAAAGCTGAAGCCACAAGCCCTCAGCCTTAAGCCCTCAACCCTAAACCCTAAACCCTAAACCCTAAACACTAAAACCCCTAAACCGTATGCATTCGGCCCTCAGCCTCCAACCCCAAACGCTAACTTATGAACAGGCATTCGTGGTAATCTTACTTTGTAAGGTTACCTTCTTACTTGACATAATGGGTTTAGGGTTTAGGGTTTAGGGGTTAGGGTTTAGGGTTTAGGGAATACCAAAAAAGTGTTCACAACCCTAAGCCCTCACCTGACACTTGACTGCCAGGACCTAGACAGCTTCTTGGCCGGTGGCCGCCACACCGCTGTCCAGGCGAGGGGGGCATTGTCAGGAGTTAGGCTTCGGTGTTTAGGATGTATGGCTTGGGGTTTGGTCTTAGGGCTTGGGGCCTTCCGGTTTAGGGTTTCATGTAGGGGTCGGAATAATGATCAAAGGGGAAAAGGAGGGACCCTTAATGGGGACCCCTACCCTATAATGGGCTATATAATGGGTATATAATACATATATTAAGGGTATATACCTAGGGGTCCTTATTAAGGGTCCCTCCTTTTGCCCTTGGATTTTCGTCCCAGTTTGAACTACAGTAAGCTTTGCCCGCAAAGCCTGCAACGATTCAGGCCCCCGTCATATCAGGCCATGGAAACACGCACGCCGAACTCTTCTGCGAGTCCGTATATAAAAGCGTAGTTTAGTGGCTTAGAACGTGGAAGTTGAGTACCCTATACCCTAAACCCTCTTCCCTAAGCCCTAAACCCTAAACCCTTAAAAAACCCTGAACCCCTAAACCCTATATCCCTAACCTTAAACCCTAAACCCTAAACCCCTGCCCCTAAACCCTAAACCCCTACCCCTAAACCCTAAACCGTTTAAACCCCTCAACCGGGTTGAGGTCCGGCAGGAGAAGCAGAAGAAGCTGGTCTTCGAGCAGGCCAGAGGGGGGGGAGGGGGGGGGGGGTTTAGGGGTTTAGGGGTTTAGGGGTTTAGGGGTTTAGGGTTTAGGGTTTAGGGGTTTAGGGTTTAGGGGGGAGGGAATTCATGTTAACCGCAAGCCTGCAACCCTAAACTTACGGGTACTTAGAAATGATTTTAATTTTTGGTTCTTATAATCCCAAAGAAGCAGCTAAAATTATAATTTTTGCTAGGGTTCTAAGTTCAGTATAGTAAAACCCTTGCCCAAAGATCTACCAGAATATATTCATGTAGATATGGCTGAACTCCAGGCAGGTGAAAGCGCCCACCTCTCTAAACCTGAACCCTGTTTTTTCGGTGGGTTTAGGGGCTTTTTGGTCTTATTGGATTTAGGGGGGCATTATTTAGGGATCCTTATCGTGTGGGGTTTTGGTGTGCGTACAAAGGAAGGGGGGTTTCCGAGTTTCGGCTTTACAAGTGTCAAGCTCCAGTTGCAATACAGGGGCCTTAATAAGTAGAATAGGGTTTCAGGGTAATGCGGGCGAAAGCCTGTCGACGAAGAGCGAAACGAAGGACGACATATGCATCCTCAAAGAATGCGTATATACACATGTACAAAAGACATGTATGACTTACTGCAGATAGACTGCAGAAGTCGAAGCATTGCGTCGTATTTCTGGGACCAGGAGTCCAAGGTCTGCACAGGGAAATCTTTTGGATTAGGGCATCTCCGTGTAAGGTTGCGCGGCTCAGTAGAATAATTGATCAGCCGAATAGGGTTTCAGGGTATTTTATACTACAGTTACAAAAAGGAACTCCCCGGAACTCTACTATAATTATTAAGGCCCTACCTTAACCCACCAGAACCTAGTTTTTTGTAGGGTCCCTTTAAATCCCATATTAGGGTTTATAATAAGAACCTACAAAAAAGTAGGGCGTAGTAGGTCTCGGAAGAGTAGTGGGCTGGCTCAAGAGCTGTCCGCAATTCTGCGCCGGAGGCAAACCTCGAAAAGGCGCAAAAGTCCGCCCGATTGCCCAGCTGCTGGTGGGAGAGAAAATATAGGGCCCTTAATAATTACTATAGGGATCCCTTAAAGGGCTTCTGTAAGGGATCCTATATGGGTACCATAAGGGTTTAGTATAGAGCCCTTAAGACTCAGCAGCTATACTATTTTGGGGGTTCGTTAAAATTGCTATAGTATAAACTACCACAGAACCCTGTTCTGGTTATTAAGGCCCCTGTATTCTCCGATAAGGCTGTTGCAGTCTTTGCTGGCTGCTGTTCTGCTTTTGGTAGAGGCGTTGGGGTCCTTGCGAGAGTGGGCTGCTTCGATGGCAGATTTCTGCACAATCCTTCGACGATGTCCCGAGTTCATGCAAACCCACACGGTTTAGGGTTTAGGGTTGTCCCGAGTTGATGCAAACCCACAGTTTCAGAACACCATCCCCGAATGACTGAACCCCCAAGAGCCCAAACGTGACACCGTTAGCCCCCACCCCCATGCCCAACAGCAAAGCCCTAAAACCCGAATCCCCAAACCAGAAAAACCCAATTCCCCACATTAGTTGAAAACATTAAGCTGTTAATCCTTCCAGGAGCCAAAGGAATCGACGACCCGAAACGCCAAAACCCCAAACCCCGCAAGCCCTATTCTACAAAACCCCAAGCTCTAAACTGACTCTAAACCCTGAACCCCAAGCCCCAAACCCTCAACTCTCAACGATCAACCCCGAAACCCATCCCCCTAAACCCTACACCCGAAACCCCTAAACCCTAAACCCTAAACCCCTAAACCCTAAACCCTTAAACCCTAAACACCTAAACCCTAAACCCTACGCCCCCAAGGCCCCTAAACCTCCCAGCGGCTGAGGCCGATGAGGCGCGGAGGCGCGCCGAGGAGAGGGAAGCCTTAGAGCGATTGCAGGCGGGGCTTCGGGGGTCATGGTTTGGGCTGCTGTGGCGTTCAGGGTTTAGGGTTTAGGGTTTAGGGTTTAGGGGTTTGGGTTCAGGGTTCAGGGTTCAGGGTTTAGGGTTTAGGGTTCAGGGTTTAGGGTTCAGGGTTTAGGGTTAGGTTTCCGCGTCAGAGGGCCTTTAGGCTTATTTGCAGGATTCTTCAAAGAGGCTTCCAGAAACGGAGCATTGTGATTTGTTTGTGTTCGTGCCTATTGTCATGACAGTATTATGATTATCTGGCAGGGCTTTAAAAGGGCAGTATGGGGTCTTCAGGATTCTGCACAAAGTTTCCAGATAGTTCGGGGCTTTGGGGTCTTAAGGTTTCGGGACTGGGTTGGTTTGGGGTGTTTAGTGACTTTAGTGTTTCAGGGTTTCCGGTTTTTGAGGGGGTTTTCGAAAGTTTCAGGAGGGGATTGGGTTTAGGGCGCAGGGTTGAATGAACCACTGAATATAAGGGAAATGACAGCGCGGCGATTATTTCGGCATGGTTATTATTACGATAGCCGTGGCAGGAGGAGGAGGAGGCTGGTAGTCGCATTCTGATGATCGTTAGTAGCCCGAGCAGTAGTAATATTTCTACGACAGCAAGTAGTAGTAGTAGTAGTAGTAGTAGTAGTAGTAGTAGTAGTAGTAGTAGTAGTAGTAGTCGTAGTCGTAGTCGTAGTCGTAGTCGTAGTCGTAGTCGTAGTCGTAGTCTTAGTCGTAGTCGTAATCGTAGTCGTAGTCGTAGTGGTAGTGGTAGTGGTAGTGGTAGTGGTAGTGGTAGTGGTAGTGGTAGTGGTAGTGGTAGTGGTAGTGGTAGTGGTAGTGGTAGTGGTTAGTAGAAGTAGTAGTAGTAGTAGCAGTAGTAGTAGTAGTAGTAGCAGTAGTAGCCGCCACGGCTCAGACGTTTTGGAAGTTTCGCGCTGGCTTTCGAACAGGCTCAGGACTCCAACCCTTCGTTGCTAGAGGTCTCAAACAGGCCTCTCTCTGAACGACTAAGGGTTGGTGCCTCACGCTGAGCCATGTGCCATGTGCCAACTGTTTGCGTCTGAGCCGCCAGGTCCCAATTCCTGGACCCAGTACCCTGTCTCAACACGGGCCCACTGGGCAGGCGGTAGGGTTTCCACTAACCGCGTGGTGGAGGGAGTCACTCGGCTTGCCTTGTGACGAAATAGCGGATGGCGCTGCTCCCAGTGCACTCACAAAATTATTCTCAGATCAGGAAGAATTCGTTCAAGCATGTTTGCAGGAAGGTGGTTGCAAGCCAGCAACCCGTTTCTTACCGAGGTCAGGTCATGACCCCTGCTCTCCTCAGGCGCATGGGCAACTGCCCACCGCGGCCAGGTTCCACCCAGTCTTTTGCACCTCGGTCTAGAGCAGGACAGGCCACCAGGCCCCTCCGTGTACTGTCTTGGAATGCAGGCCACCTTGGCCAGCAGCAATGGTCGGAAGTCAAATCATGGCTTTCCACTGAGGCACGCCACACCTGTGATGTTCTGGTGCTGCAGGAGACCCACTGGCAGGCTACGGCTGAATTTAGTGTTTCAGGCTGGTACTGCATCTCGTCTGCCTCTGCTGCAGATCCGAAAGCCTCTAGACGTAAACAACGCGGGGGCAAGGCCCACATACAGCCACCTGCAGAGGCAATGCCTAATGACGACAAGACCCAACCGCCCCGCAAGGAACCCTCGACCACACGCGCGGACGGAGTCATGGTCTTTCTGTCCCCACACATACAACCTAAAGGTGTGAGATGGCAGGAACATGTCATAGGCAGAACCCTGGAGGTCAGGTTTGACTGGCACGGGGCCCGCATCCACCTGATTGCTGTATCCCAACATGTTTGGTCACCGGCCAAGCAGGTGCAGAACAATCGTCAGGACAGGGCACAGGTCCTCAAAGCTCTTGGCAGATGTGTGCAAAGGGTGCCACACCAAGACACGCTTATCATCGCAGGTGATTTCAATAGCTCCTTGCAAAAGCAGCCTAGGCTGGTAGGTCCAGAGCTCATAAGCCCACAGGAACCGCGACCTGATGAACCGGAGCTCACCAACTTCCTGTTGAGTCACCGCTTGGTGGCCCTCAACACGTGGCGACCTCAGCCATCATTTACGTACCAACAGGGGGACACACGCACACAAATTGATTTTGTGCTTACGCGAGAGGTGTCAGCTGGAGGCACTGCCAAGGCCTCCACGCCACTGGCGGCTTTTCCGCTGGGCAGCTGGAAGAAAAGCGGGCACCTGCCCATCAGTGCGACTGTCAAGCCAGTACGTCACTGGAATTTGCCGCCTCCTCAGATACAGACACATCAGTTTGACGCTGCTGCCCTGCAAGCGGCTGTGAGGGACAACACGCTGCCAGCTCAGCAAATGCTGGAGTGGGTTACAACCCGTCTTACACCGGACATGCAGCCGGCGTCATGGGATCGCCTTCTTGGCGAAGCCTCCTCCAAGTTTTTCCCTAAGACCCCGGTGGCAATGCCAGAAAGTCCGGAGACGTGCATTGCCAGAAGAATGTGGCGCTCTGCACGAGGGAGCAATGCTCACACCAGTGCTGCATCAGCTACAGACGCAGCTGCCCGTCAACTGCTATACGACCAGCACAAACTGGCGGTCAAGCAGTCTCGCAAAGATCAAACCAAGCGGTTCCTTGCCGAGGTGGACCAGGCTCTCAATCAGGGAGACCAACACCTAGCATACCAAACTCTCAAGCATCTTCGCCCGTGGAAACCGGCTCTGAAGGCTCAGCTCAAGGATTCGAACGGTTTCCTACTCAGCCCTGCAAACGAACTTGCAGAGTTGGGCAAGTACGCCACCAAGGTATTTGCAGCGCACCCTCCGCTTCCTTCTGACGCGGGACTTCTGCCCCTACTGCCGCAGACCAAGCTGGCGAAACACATAGCTTCGATAAAACCTGGGAAGGCAGTCCCGAAAGGAGCAGCACCAGCCGCAGCCTGGAAGCTCTGCGCACAGCCTGTATCCGAGGCGCTCTCGCATTACTGTTCTGCTCTGACACAGGACCAGCCACTAGACGATGATCTGACACGAGCGGATCTCTGCTTGATCCCCAAACCGGGCAAGCCGGCTGACAAGCCTTCCCAGCTAAGACCGCTGGGAATACTCAGGCCGGATGCTAAAGGCCTGGCGGGAACGGCTAAGGAACTCCTGGAACCTCTCACGCTGCCATACATGAAGCCTCTCCCTCAGTTTGCATACCTCCCGGGCCGGGGTCTCTCCGACGCCCAGAGTCGAGTGGTACAGCACCTGAGAGAGGCTCGGCAACTGTGTCGCACTGCGAACCTTACCAGAGCGGATCAGCAGCGGGGACAATGTCCTGTCGGTCTAGTAGGCGGCATTACCTTTGCACTAGACCTATCACAGGCATTCGACACTGTATCCCGCAGCGAAATCTTGTCTCTGCTTGATGAACTAGGCGCAGATCCCTCCCTACAAAAACTGATACATGGCCTGCATCATCGATCCAAGTACAGGCTCCATTCACAAGGGGCGCACCAGGATGTGGAAACCACCACCGGCATCAAACAAGGCTGCAAGCTGGCCCCTACATTGTTTTCCGTTCTGACAGGCCGTCTTCTGCACAGGCTGATAGACACATTTGGCTGGGACAATGTCCGCAGATACTTCACTGGGTATGCCGATGACTTTACCATGCATCGCACAATCCGTAGCAAAGCGGACGTGGACGCAGCTCACAAAATGATCCTACAGCTTTTGTCGGAGGTAGAGAAACTAGGCCTGCGAGTCAATCCAACCAAATGTGCCATTCTAGTCAAACTCAGTGGCAGAGAGGCAGAGGCCACGCTCCAGAAGCACACCTGCTGGCTTCCCGACCAAGACGGCAAACTCCAGCGTCACTGGCGACTGGGCAAACACAAGTCCTTCCCAGCCTACAAACTTGAAACACAAATCAAGTACCTGGGCATTCAAATCTCTTATGGGAATTTCGAAATGCAAACGCTGCGCTTCCGTATAGCGGAAGCTGCCAAAAAGCTCCAGCAGGTCAAGCGATTTGTCTACAACCGCAGAACTGCAGGGCCAATGGCCAGGTTGAAGGTTTGGTTCACCACCGTATGGGCCACTCTGGTCACAGGACTTCCTGAAGTCGGCCTCACGGAGGAAACAGCCCGGCATCTCCGAGGTTGGTATGCACACAAGCTACGCTCCGTACTTAACCAGCCTGTCCATGTCAGCCGCATCTCCACAGCGGACCTATATCAGCTGCATTCGATTCAGGACCCGGTGGCAAAAATCCGAGCTCGGATGGCTTCGCGACTAAAAAGACTGAGCAAAAGACCCGACACCCCTACCCCCGCAGCTGACCTTTCCGTCTCGCGGATGACTACTTCCAGTGCACCAACGGTGCAGCGGAGCCCGTGGGCCAGACTGCGTCCTGACGCGCCGGCCTCGGTCACAGGCTCGAACACTACCGACATGGCAGTGTACGGTGATGTCACGTGTCTGGGACATGTCTTACAGGACTTACAGGACATACTACGCGAAGTGGACAATCTTCCTGCGAGCACCGAGGCCTCGCAGCAGCGGTTGCATGACTGTCCTCACTGTACGTCTGGCTTTGTCTCTGCGCATGGTCTACACATGCACATCACAAGGATGCATCGTGATCAAGTAAAGAGGTACATTCCCCCTTCCTTTGATCGTAGTCGGCATTCCAGGGACGGTCTACCAGTATGTTCCGCATGCGACAAGGCCTTCCATCAATGGAAGGGCCTACGCGACCACCTGCTGTCGGGAGCCTGTACGCAGCCGGAACGCCTGCGCCAGCTATCTCTCACCACCGAGGAGCAGCTGCAGGGCCAAGCGCTCAGAGGCTTAGCCGCCCTTCGGGCTACGGTGCAGAGTTCGCCAAAAGACAAGCTCAGCAGCATAGCCTCCCGACCGGAAGCTCTAGAACTCAAGCACAGGTGCATCTTGTGCGGATTCTGGACCCCCGACCATACCAAGATGA